GAACAACCACTATCGAGGTATCATTGGTTGTTCCCCCTCACTTCGACCTGCAAAAGAAGCTAAGGGTTAGATTCAGGAACCCCATCTTTCATGGGTTCCTTTGTTGATACAGCAAACTCATTTTTCTTTTGCCATACATAAGCTATATTTTTAGTGGACTTAAGTTCCTTTCTTTTGCAATCAGTATCTTTGTGTCCTGACTTGCCACAGAAGGAACACACAGTCTCACTAGGGAGTTCCACGTACTTTTTCTTTTTACCACTGTTCTTCTTTTTGTGGTTGAAACCCAAACCCTCTGTCCTTCTGGTTTGAGCTTCAAATATCCACTTTGGAACTCCCATGTGGATTGCACTTTTGTTGTTTCTAGCTCTTTCTAAATCCTTTTCAAGGGATTCATTTTTGTCTTTAGTAACCTGTAATTCTTTTTTCAAATTTTCAAGATCATCATTAAAGGTTACTAAAGGCAATTGAAGAGCATTATTAGAATCAATGTTAGTGCATAACAATTTATACTGAGTCAATTCAACATCCGGGATGTAAAGATGGAACGTGTATGTGAATGTGACCATGGTGTCGAAAGAGTATATTGCTGATGATGGAGTGGTACTTTGACAAATCTAGTTTCCATTGTCATCGTGCTGTGATTTCGAAAAAACATTATCAAAAACAAGGCTACCAAGATTCAACCAATAGTTCCTCCAAGTTCTAGACAACACACCCATCTTGGCTACATCGGATATTGGCAAGATTTCTATGATCTTGTCAATGACATTATTTGGAAAATTGCTGATTAAATCTTGTTTATCTTCCATAATACTGGTATTGCTTGAAAACTCAGATGGAGAAACCATAGTATACTCCAAAATTCTCTAATTGCAATGCTAAAATATTCTAAACAAATCTAATTTAATTTTCTCCAACTTTTATATTATAGAGTACATGAACTTATGCATGATAATGGTATGTATACTCTAAGTTCAGCTAAGATAAAATTATAAAAGCTAATAAATTTAATTAGAGCAAATAAGTTCAAACAAGATAAAATAGGGTTTATAATAAGATCTAGTAAGGAGACTATATTTTTTTAGGAGACTATATAATACCTAATACAAGTTCCAACAAGATTGATAAGAATATACTCTGTAAGATAAGAATGAAAAAGTTCATAGAAGATAAATACAAGTTAAAAATAAGATAAGTTGAAGGCAAATAATATAAATAAAATTTATGTGAAAAAATTAAATATTATCGCGCGTACTTGTATAAATAAAATTGTTACCCGGCAACAAGTGCTGTGACGTTTCAAGCATTGCAACAATAACATACTGTAACGAGCTCTTCACTCATTGAAATATTTCCTAAGACCTCCTCCACCTGTTAGCCTCTTTTGAATGCGTAGCCCCATGTCTGTGGGGCTCCGAAACACTGGCAAAGAAGCAATTTCAGAGTCTTGCTTTTCAACAATCCCTGAATTGTTATACAAAAAAAAACCACAAAAATCTGTTATGAAATTTTAAAGTAAAAGCACTTGTACTATACTACTAGCTTAAGGCAGTTTCCTTGGTGTAACAATTAATTACGAAAAGCTCCCCTTCCCCAAAAAACTATATTATTACTCGGACTCTTCATTTCACCTCACGTACCGGTGTCGGACCCTCGACACTCGGACATGGGTATAAAACCCGGACACTTCACTTTTAGTTCAAAATTATGGAATTTTTTCACAAAATAGCCGAGTTGGACGCTTGGACACGTACCCATGTTGGACATGAGTACCCGAGTCCAAGTAACATAGCCGAAAAACAATTCATCCAAAACCTCAATTTACACACAGGAACATTTTCCTTCTGCAATTTAAACTAGAAGCAAATGAAATAAAACAACAGTGAGACACAAACCATAAACTATAATTGTATTAAGTCTTATGTATAACAACCAAAGGATCACTCATTTTCTCCCTTGTGGGCTACTTACGAAACAAAAAAGTAAATACCAGTCACTAGTCTCTTAAGCAGGATCAGAAAACAAATCTGAAGTACAAGTGTGGTGGCAACATGAACAGATCTATTTGGCAATATGTTCTTTGGACAGATGACTTCCACCATTCGTGATGCTCTATGAAACCAATTTAATTGCATTAATATCCTTGAATAAGAAGTCTTCTTGAGGCTCTGTAGTAAAAACTCAATCAAGTACTTATAATCGCTCAAGCACAGGAGCATGGCCGGCCATTAGGGTGTGCAGCATGAGCTGCCGCACAGGGCCCAACTTTGGTTGGGGCCTCAAATCATTAAAAATGTATAAGCAATATATGTTGTAAAATTATTCAGGTATATTAATAATGGCTTAGTGGTTTCATGATCTCTACCACCTTCACTTGCAAGAGGTCCTTGGTTCAATTCTCATTTTTTACAAAATGTATTTAATGCCTATTCTTATTTAATGTTTACTATTTCCAAAACCATTAATGCATTTCTTTTTCTGTCATATATAATAAATGACTAACCTCTACTTACAAAGTATTTCACTTTTTTATGATTGCAAACTTTATATATTCCGTTTTTGTGAAGAACAACGATTTTGTTTCTTGTATTAAAAAATATAACGTGAGTAGAGAAAAATCATAAGCCAAATTTTATATTCTATTTTTGCACAGGGCCTCCAAAAAGGTTGGGACGACCCAGGAGAGCAATCAAGTAATAAGTCAATCAAGAGGCTCTGTAGTAAAAGCACTTAAAATTCCAACTTTGGCACAACTGAGGTGGTGCAATCTAAAATCAAAATTGGCGTACACGGAATGTCTAGCAAGATTTTGTTGGGGTTTGGTAAATCCAACTTACCGCGGAAACAACCCCGACCAAAAGAACCACTCGCAATTAATAAAACCATAAAACATAACAAATAAACATAAAAGGATAAAATCGAAATTTACCTTTGTAGCGTGCTTCGCCCTCAAAGCCGGGCTCTTACTTAACATAAAATTAAAGGATAAAATCGAAATTTACCTTTGTAGCGTGTTTCGCCTTCAAAGTCGGGCTCTTACTTGAAAGCTTTAAGCTCCGAAAATACGCGAGCCTCCTACGGAAGTCCGCCCGCAAAAACTACTAGCGACTTTTAGGTCCGTTACCTCGAGGTTAGCGAGGTCCGACCAAAACCTAAGTATTATATGAGTTTAAGAGTTTTTGCTAATGCAATGCACCATTGAACTCCTACTCAAGCACTCTTCCCAAATACCCAAGATGGGTATTTATAGGCAAGAGGAAGAGTGGGAATTTCTATCCCATCAATGTGGGAGTCATGAATTTCCACAATTTATTTTAAAGCTAAAATAAAATAAATAAGCAAACTAATAATAAATCTACAAGTGACACTATCATATGTAAAAGGTGGTGAGGACCACATGGAGAGTAGGGGACCATACTTGCTCCCCACTCAATACTCTCCTTGTGCCACATATCCCTCACCCCACTTGCTTCCATATGCTCCCAATAGTTTCCCCTAGTACTCGGCCCTATGGCCCAGCCACAGCCCGACCGAGAGCCCAGCCCCTTGCGTGCGCTGCTAGCACGCAAGGCTTGCGGCTGCTAGCTCCTGCTAGCATGCATTGCTTGCGGCTGCTAGCTATGGTGCGCTAGCACGCACTAGCTAGCCGGCCATGCATGGCTCGGCTTGGTGTGCTTGCTAGCCACCTATGCAAGGACATTTTTGCCCCTAGCACTCGGATGCTCGGGGCACTCCGATGTTAGGGGTATTTTGGGAAATATTGGCAATTTATTATTATTTGCGCGTCTCGTCATTTACTGTTTTTTGACTCGGTTTCGGCGCTCTAAGCTCGAATTTCCGACATCTAAATATTTAGTACTTGGGCGACGAATTAATTTCTTCCGAATTAATTCGTCGAGTCGGTTCGTTAACTGCTAAGGGTGTGACCCGAAGGGTTAAGTCAAGATTAAGTTGTAATATTAATTATGCATTAATATTACTAATCGGAAGCGGCTTCCACCTAAGCATTCCTATCACTTGACCTTACTAAATATATTAGCTTTCTAATAATTATGAACCCACTAACGGAATAGTACACTTGTTCGAAGGACACCATTCCTTTCAGATTTGTGCTTGAAATTATAGAAAAGTATTTAGTGGAATTCACATGTCATAACTATACTCTAATAAAAAGTTAGTACAAAAATATATATCATAATTTTAAGATACAATTTCGAATGATAAAAAGCACTAGAACTTCACTTACTAACCTTATTAGTATTTCTTTGATAAATTCATAACAGTGAACAATTCTATGGTACTATGAATCTTCATTTATCTCAAATTCTCGAGTATCCATCCAAGAACCTTGACACTCAGACAAGGGTAATAGACATGTGACAACACTTACAACCAAATACATGGATACATCTACTTAATACCCATGTTGGAAACTTGAGCACATACTTCACCAATTTTGAGTTACAGAGTGAATTATATAGGTTGAGACAGAGATCTCACCATAGATATGGGATACTTACAGTGATTTTTACTATTTCAATGTTAGGAAAGCTGTGAATGCAGCTAATCACAGAAGAGAAGTCATCCAGATAATCCAGATAAACAGATAGAAACACCAGAATTTTCAGTTTCTCAAAGGTATTACGAATGGTGACATAACACACTCGAATAATATAAGTATGCAAATAGTTTGATAAATGGGATAGTTCCATGAAAAATTAGAATACATATTACTCGTAATATATTTGTTTTCACTTTGACAAGCATTTTTTTTTTTGGTGCAAACTTTGACAAGCATCTAAGTCATGGAGTTAACTTACCATGCTACGCCATTTACCCAAACATATCCAAATTAATTTCAGTTGTTAAGACTTTTTTTTCTAAAAAGCTATTTTAACAATAATAAAATTAGGAGAAGTATCAAAGCAAGGTTACTGTTTCACACAAAAATAACTACATGAAGTCATGACGATCAAGTTATTGATACCCAGTTTTTCTTATGAAACAATAATTTGTGCCTTCGGAGAAGCTCTTTGAAATGCATTCAACTCTCTTTGCAGCTTCAATTCTACAACATCATCAATTCCTCTGACTTTGATAGTCAATTTTCGAAGAACAATTGAAGAAGAGAGCACGTATTTAATGAATTTGAGCTCAGCATTTGATCCTGTAACGCCCTTAATATCCAACTCAACCAGATTACCCAATTTTAAGTTATTTTCATAGTTATAGTTATGCTCAACTTCCACATTTTGGTTTGGACGACGAAGTAGACGACCAACCTATACACATTGAAAAGCACATCAAAAAGACAATAATTCACATTTCTCATTTATCCTCACGACCTCACCCTTTTCTATAAATCCTAAATCAAAAGAGAACCTTTACCTCTTTATGCAATTTTCCTTCCCAACCCCGAAATAAATAAATAAATAATTCTCTCTCCGTCCCTCAGAGTCTTATCCATATTTTCATTTTAATTTTCTGGTAGAAAGTGAACAAATTAGATTAAAACGTAGAACATCCCACAAGTGAAGGCCATGGTTCAAATTTCAAATCATTTTTTTAAAAAAATGTTTTATTTGTTTAACTAACCATCCTATTTTATTTGTTTTCATTTTGAATAGAGGAGCGCTATAGAACATAAAGAATATTTATTTTTCAATTTTTTATCACTAATATTCATTTTTATCGGTTGTTTACAAAGTTTTAGTTCACAAAAGAAGAAACATAATTATGTTGATATATTACACGGAGTATAGTATAAGAGGATAACAAAATTTCCTTTACAAAATGTGAAAATGGTAAAACTTATAGTCAATAGGTTATATACTTACATCGATAGTGAACTTCTTAATGGATGGGCATCTTCGAAGAAAATCAAAGGTGGAAGAAAATATACTAAAGTCATCCGATTTAATTAGTAATCCGAGAGACAGTTCATGCAGGTGTGTAAGTGCCCACGGTAACGAGATCTTCTTTTGTATTGCAACAAACACCTTGCACAAAATTGCACAATAAAAAGGCATCAAATTTTATAGCATAATAACATTTTAAAAGCATATGGAGTAATAAATTCAAATCAATACAAGAAGTCCTTTAGCCATAAAACTTACCTTTGACGAAAGGGAACTTAGGGGAAGCGATTTGAGTTCACAAGAAGCTGAAAGATGTTTTATAGCATCAGCTATTTCAGTAGTTTTGCGGTCAGTAGTAGTTGATATACTATCCCAAATAGTTCTAGCAAGGTTGGGAACATTTTTGAGTTTTAACAATCCAACAGAAGAAACGGATAAACTCATGCTTTCCAGTTTTGGTGCATCTATAACAAGATTATTCAGATTGGACAAATCTTTGAGAATCAGTACAGAAAGTTTGGGGCAATTCGCAATCAAACTGCTTAGTATATCACCCTCTAATAATATAAAACTGAGTTCAAGTTTGCGAATATGTTTAAAGCCCTTGAAATCAGTGGGCGGAGGTTTTAAAATAATATCTTTGGTCAGTATCAATTCCTCCAATTCAATGCAGGAATAAATATGAGAGGGCAAAGGTACATAGATATCCGGCATCTCCTGATTATTTTCAATGATAATATTTTTGACACCATTTCTTGAAAGAAAACTTAGCCAAGGATTAAGATTTAAAGATTTTATACAACCATAATATTCATCTCCTTCAATGTAGGGGGCCTCGAGGTAGAACTCGTGAATGTAAGGATTAAAGTGTTCAACTAACTTGCAATCAACCCACAATAGCAATGAACAAACAAGCATAACAATCAAGAACAACTTTGAAGGAATTAAAGCAAGTAAAAGGAAGACAATGTTACCGTGGGAAAACCCGAGAACCGGGAGAAAAAACCCACCCTTGCACTATGGAGTAATATTGATGATGAATGAACTCAAGAATTACAACCATGAATTGTATAGAATTCAAATGCTCCTCACAAACCCTCTCAAAACCTCTCTATGTGTATAAATGTTTGTGAATACTCAACAAAGAGGCTTAGAAAAGGTATATATAGTCTAGGTAGAAAATACAATCAAACGGCTAAGATTAAGGCAAATCGCACAAGCCGAAAACGAAGCGACGAAGTAGGGAGCAGGGAGGTTCGGCCGAACCTACCCAGAGTTCGGTCGAACCTCCTTGGGTTTGGTCACTCCTCCTCTAGAAATGAAAACTGGTGCACCTACTGATTTAAAACCGGGTTCGACCGAACTTTTCACAAGTTTGGTCGAACCTTAACAATAAGGCAGCTTCTATGCAATCTCCTTATGTCTCCATGTATTTATCTATCTCCACACTAATCCTAACAGTGAATAGGTCGTTGGTGGTGGAGGAAGATATTGTCGACGATGCTGATGTATGTTTCCCTATCTACTTCTCCATGGTTGTTCTTCAGCCGATACCAGAAATCCTCGTCGAAAACAAGTCTCGAAAGACAGCACCAATTGGTCCTCCATTGTTTGGACAATACACTCATCTTGGCTGCTTCGTTAAGTGGCAACAGTTGGAGTATCTTATCAATAAGTACCTCGGGCAAATTGCTGATTCGATCGTTTCTGCTTTTGATGTTCTTCGGTATCATCTTTGAAGGCGAAACCATGTTTAGATGAAGTTTTGAAAGGAAAAGTATGAATAAATCATACAAATGCTTGTTTTACATTTGTAGTCAATTAATCATCCCAAGAAAAATACTCCAGTCAATTAATGTCTTTGTAGTTCACGTATCAATAAATACACTTGGTTTACCAAAGTGATTGTAATTTGAATTAGATGGAAAATTTAAAAAAGAAAATACGGAGTACTTGTGATTTATTTTACGAGGCGGCACATTTATTTATTGGAGATCCATTCCAAGGTGCTCTAAATCAATCTGAATATGAATTGTTGGTTGAATGATGTGCGAATTGAGACATAGACAAGTTGACAGTCATCCCAAAATCATCATGTATAAATTATTATGGGTAATGTTATATGTAGCCCTAAGCCCTTAGGGTTGAGCATTAAATATACTCTTGAAAATTGTATAAAATAGAAATTCATGACAAAAACACGCGCAAATTAGTGCGTTTTGTCACGATTTCCGAAATTCAAACAATTTTTTATACTCCCTTCGTCCCCTTTTGATAGCTCCTTATGGACAAATTTTAGTCCCAAAATGTTCACCCCATTTGCTTTTTCCAACAACCATTAATATTAAATTTTTACTAAAATTCCCTCCAATTTGCAACAATATTTGTGCAAATTTAACTTTTGCATGTAAATTTTGTTTTCCCATATATTTTTATTACTTTCTCTCTATATTTTTTGCATACCCAATGTCAATTTATCTTTTCAATGTATTTTAACTATTCTTTTGTGTTTATTAATTCCCGTGAAAAATGCCCATAAGGGACTATCAAAAGGGGACGGAGGAAGTAGTATTTTTAATGCATAAATATAACTCTCAGGGCTATGTATAACATTTTCCAATTATTAATACTCCTCCTCGAAAAAAAAAATCCCTTAATACTCTCTTCGCCTCTATAAAATCTCAAAAATATAATCATATAATATCTTGTTGGATTCATTTAATATTGAGCCTTTGTAATTTTAACCCATATGTAAACGATGCCATATATACATTTTAAAAAGTATTTTGAAGACTATGAAATTAAATAAAGGTGGTGGTTAATCAGGGAAAAAAAGGTGCATTTAAGAGATCATGTGCCTCTTAAGTAACAAGACAATCCCGGAATACAAGGTCAAATGTCGGAATTCGACATGCATAAGATGTGTTCTCGCGGAAAAAAAATAAAATAAAAATTAAGAGGTGTATTTTTAAACGGGAAAAAAAATTATAAGGTAGTTTCTAGGGAAAAAAAAGTGTTTTATAAAGAGAAAAAAAATTCCATAATAATTTTGATGATTAAAGGATTCAATCAGATTGTGTTAGTATAAAAATTCCCAAAGGTGATTATATTTTGGCATTTTTTTTAATTCAAATGAGGCAAAGCCAATTACAAAGAAAAGAAAAGTACGTACAACGCAAAAAAAGAAACAAAGCAGCAAACGAAAAGTTAAATAATAAAAATTATGGAGGAACAAGGCGTGGAAAGGCCACACTCTGAACATCCTCCTTTAAAATACTACCAAGACCTACGGGATAAAAATTAAGAATATCTAAGTCGGTATCTTGAGTGACTCTACGGTTAGCCAATTATTCCGCCGCGCAATTTTCTTCACGAAAGATATGAGCAACCTTTACCTCCCAACTGTCATTATTAAGTATGTTGATGCATCGAGAAATCTCATGAATTCTCACCATTAGGAGCCTTCCCCTGCCTTAGGATTTGCACACAAGCCAAGTTGTCTAACTAGACTTCTAGATGAGTTATTTGCAAATTTTTGCCAATTCTAGACCTCGAGTTAGAGCTAGAACCTCGGCTCGAAATGCTATACATCTACCAAAGTTCATAGAAAAACCAGATATGAACTTCCCCTCTTGATCTTTTATAAGAGCACCACCTCTAGCTAAGCCCGGACTTCCTTTTGCTGCTCCATTACAATTAAGTACGTACCAACCAAAGCTGGAGGGCTGCAAAATTTTGCTTTTTAATCGACTTTGGACTAGCATTAATATCTTGGTCTTGCATACTACGAAAGGCTTCATCAACTCGGATGCGAATAAATGCACCTATGTCAACTGGAATCTCATCACTCCTATTAAAGTCATAACAGTTCCTCCATCTCCATACCCACCAAGCTATAATACCAAACAAAGTCTTCCACCCTTGGTCATCTATATTACCTGACTCTTTCAAGTTGTGCGTTAGCCACTCCTTCAGGGGCTTATTGAAGAAGTCATGAGGCAAATCACGAGTTAAAACAATACGCCACACACGCCTTGCGCAGCTGGGCACTCTCGAAGGATATGCAAAGAGGTTTTCTCTGTATGGCCACAAATAAAGCACTTAGGGTCATCTACAAGATGTCTTTTAAAGCAATTTAAATTTCCAAGCAAGCAATCATGGCATGCTAGCCATAAAAGGCCCGGATACGCTGCCGTAAGAGGGATTTCCAAATTAAATTCCAACACTCTTCATCAAGAAAATCAGTTTCATGCCTCATAATAATAAGAATCAAATTGATAGTAAATCGACTCTTAGAGTCTCCCTTCCAATAAATTAAATCACCTATATTAGGATCAGCACAAACCTCATGGTGTTGAATTAATTTGAGTGTATCCGAATCAAGAAAAGAAGCGAATATGTTCCACCTCCACCCCTGATTAGCCACCCACATCTTCTCCCCCGTAGATCGAGCTTGGTTATCAGGGATAGGAGCAATAGCAAGATCCCTAAGGGGTCTATCAGCATCCCACGCACAAGTAATCCCAAAACAAAGTTTGCGGCCCATTACCTATAGCAGTCCTCATACCTTTGCTCAAGACTTGCACATTTGTTGTGATTCCTACCCATACATTCGAACTTCCTTGCTTAGGCTTGAACATGTCAACATCAGAACTAACCCTTCAGTATTTAGCTCTAAGAACTCGTGACCAAAGGGAGTTTGGCTCGATCAAAACTCGTTTCGCTTGGTTAGAAAGGTTGCATTAGCCTATTAACCCGATACCAAACCCACACCACCTAGCTCTTTTGGACATTGCAACATCTCCAAAGAGAGGAGATGCACCTTCCTTGTATCCTCACTACCACCCCAATAAACCTTCTAGTTTTTTTGTCAATGTCTTCACAAATAGATTGAGGTATTTTTGTTGATTGCATAAAGTAAAAGGACATTGTAGATAGCGTGGATTTTGCCAATAATGTTATATGGCTAGCTAGAGATAAATATTTGGACTTCCATCCACCAAGCTGACGGTCTATTTTTTCACAAAGGTGGCTGAAAGTATCTTTGGTGACCTTAATAGTGAGGGTAGGCATTCCAAGATACATACCGAAGTCTACGATTACCTCCATTCCCAAGGCTGCTCGATTTCTTCTTGATCCGAAAGAGAAACATATTTTAAGAACAACACACGTCACTTAGGTAGGCTCACTTTCTGGCCTAAAGCATCACAAAATCGAACCAAGCATGTGCGGACAAGTTCAACCTGGTTAACATTGGCCTCCGAAAACAATGCAATGTCATCTGTAAAAAATAGATTCGATAGAATAGGTCCATTACGACTTGCATGAATTGTTTTCCAGAAACCATGAGAAATAGGTTCTTCAATAACCTGATATAAGCGCTCCGTACACAAAATAAACAAGTAGGGAGATAAATGGTAACCTTGACGGATCCCCCTACTTGGTTTAAACTTTTGAGATGGTTCTTCATTCCACAAGACATAAAGAGAAGCGGTGGTGATGCACTCCATGATGAGATCAACCATTGTAACAGGCAAATTCATTTGAACAAGAGTGCGTGTCACGTATGAATGACCATTAAAGTCTATTATAGGCTTTTTCAAAGCCGATCTTGATAGCCATCATATAACCCTTAGCACCTTGTTTCTCCCTCATAGTATGAAGAATGAACCTCTTGCATGATTACAATATTGTCAGTGATTTGACGCCCAAGCACAAAGCTTGCTTACGTATTTGAGATCAAATTTGGTAACACAAGCTTCAACCGATTAATTATCACCTTAGTCATAATCTTGTAAGCTACATTACATAAACCAATCGATCGAAATTGTGAGGCTAATTCGGGTTGACCCACCTTTGGTAAAAGAGCAATAAAGGTTTCATTGAAATTCAAAGGTATGCCTTTCCCTTCAAGAATGGGAAGTAGACAATTGTAGACTGTAGGAGATACCAAGTCCCAATTTTTTTGATAAAAAAGAGCTTGAAAACCATCCGGCCCTAGAGCTTTGAGAGCCCCCATCTCCTTAATCATTTCATTAATCTCAAATTTCGAGTAAGGTTTTGTAAGCAAGTTCCAATCGTGATTTAAGAGTGTAGGGAAGACGTCTTGAGGTACATCATAATCATTCAGTTAGCCTTCTTTTGTGAAAAATATTGTAAAATATTGAACAAAATGATTCTTAATCTCACATTTGTCCTGACCTTCCGATTTTTCTTTTGCAAGGATTTTATTCTTCCACCGTCCGACAATGGTACTCAAGTGAAAAACAATGTGGTATTCCAATCTACCCGGGATTTTTGATACCTCTTCCTTATCAAGAATAACATTAAGCTCTCGCTCTTCTTAGCCGCTCCTCCAATTTCAGCACGCCTTTGCCAACCTTAACCACAAGAGATTTTTGGATACCTCCCAATCGAGCAATAAGAGCTCGTTTGTGTTTATAGATATTACTAAAGACATATATGTTAGTTCCAAATATGAAAATCATTAGAAAGATTGGTTAAAGTAGGCATGTGAAAGCTATTGGAATCCCAATTGTCAGAAACAAGGTCAAAAAACATGTTCATGAGAAAACCATGTTGCTTGGAACCTGAGCAATTGATGTAAATCTTGCAATGGAACAACCATTGGAGAAATGAATAGAGGGCAATGATTAATAATATGAGTGAATTGCGGTGAGAAGTTTCATTGAGGCCTTTTCAAATCGAAGAGCCCAATTTTCGTCGCATAGGGCCCTGTCTAATTTGCCACTTTGACGAGTCGGTCTCAAGGGTTAAACCCCTCGCCCATGTGTGAGCTGCACCCGAAAATTCCATCTCAAGAAGGTCCATGTCTTCAATCTTAGAATTAAATTAAGCTGATCTCCTGTTTGTTTCATGACACGAGCTATTCCTTTCGGATGGTAATGGAGTGACATTGAAGTCACCCGCTATAAGCCACGGATGATTGTGATTTGCCGCAAAAGATTTGAGTTCATCCCATAGTTGAACCCTTTGAGTAGGATCCGGGCTTGCATATACCGCTGTGAAATACCACAGTATTATGCCAATCCTCAAAATTTCCGTCTTGATATACTGTTTATGGTGCGCAATTGGACTTATAGTGACAACTTTGGGTTTCCAGTACATCCAAATACTACCGCTAAAGCCTACCGCATCCACCCTTGTGTGACCAGAATATCCCAACAATGAAGCGATTTTAATTGCTTGGTCCTCCCACGTGAGTCTCAACAAGAGCTAAGACGTTTGGTTGGTTTGCACGCACTAAATCACAAAGAGAAGAAATAAAATTACGACTCCCCGCACCTTGAACATTCCACACCATACATGTGATAGGTAGTGAATCCAGAGCAAAATTCAGTAAATTATCTTCCATAGAAATGGGGTAAAAGTTAATGATGACATATATGCTTGGCTAATAAAACGCAAGAGGCATTTAAACTCATTGGGAATTTGCAATGTCGCCACCAAAGCTGGGGGATCCGAGATTGGTGGTAGCATAGACTCCAATTACATCTCCATGACATGTATCAAGGGGTTCATGGTCACAAGATATACTTGGTCCAGAGGTTGTCCCACACACAAAAGGTCTTCTCCAGGGGGGTATTTTTAGTTAGATCAGTGTAGGTATATGAGACATGGGTAGTAGTCAAAGGTAGCTCAAAGTCTGCTTCATTGTTAGATTGGTTTTGGAGTTTTGGGTGAGTTAAATTGATTTTTTTTTTTTTTTTTTTTAAATGCAATCATTAAAAGGTGAAAAATAAAATAAAATACAATCACCAAAAGGTCATAAATGGCAAAAGACTATAACCATTTGTATGCTTAACTCTAATTATTTAACCAATATTAAAACTCATTGATGCCTTTCCTCATCATTTGAAATCAAAAATCTGAAAAATCTGAATCTGAACCTGTACCTTCATCAGAATCAGAATAACCAGAGTTGTCATCTTCATCTTCATCTTCATCGTCATCAACTTTCCTAGACATTAAGGTAATAATTACAATGTAAGAAGATGCCTCGTTGAGCTGCCTCAATTTTCTTGACCACTTCATCTTGTCATACGCAGTGAATATTCCATAAATCTCAAGGTTGATTACCTCCAACATAGGAGCGCGAGCAATTAGATACCAAATTATCTTGAGGTGTGCAACTGATCTAGTATGAAATCTGGCATAAATGGTACGGAGTTGGAGAAATTCGTAGGAAATGTATAAATATGATGCGATAACCCTTTACATCTGCAAAGGAAATTACATCATCTGTTACCTGAAATCAAGTGTAAAATGCAAAGGTTAATTACTGCAATTTTTCAAGGTGACATATAATGGATCATATTTGTAATTTGAACCTATAATATCTCATTATAATGATAGTCACAAATCACAATCGTTAAACACGAGCTTAAACGTACTCTATGGACTTCCAATGATTTCAATTATCGATATTTTCATACTTCCTTTAACAATGTGACTAACAAAAAATCACATAAGAAACATATATACTACTCTAGTCATGCATGGTACTCGAAACATACAAAAAAATCAAGCCTAAGCCTTTCAACATTAGGACATCTTTGAATTACACCAAGAGCAAAGGAAAGTTCGAAGTAGGAATCAATACTTGTCAGCTGCAGATCTTTCACATGAATAAAGGTAGCAGGAAACCTTGATAATGCACCGCCTTTAACCAAAAACTTTGATCCACAATGTATTCAAGAATGAGATTGAAGCAAATTAATAAATATTCAGACTAGAAACCTTGAAAAAAGATTGTAAATTTAAGGACGGAATAGTTAATAAGACTGACCTTAATAAAATATTTGTTGAAACAGAGGCTTTCCACTCTACTGTGACGCTCTAGGAATTTGATAAGTTCTTTTGTTCCATTGTTCTCATCAAGATTTAGAAATTTTTGTAAACTGACAGAGATCGACAAGATACCTTGACATCCATCAAGATTAATGGAATCGAATAACATGCCAGACATATTCAAGTACTTGAGCTTAGGCATATTAAAATCTAGTTTAAATGTATTTGAACCTAATTCGATGTCTCTTAAACTTAACTTTTCAAGAAGCGGGCATTTGGCAACAAAGCTTCCAAGGTCGAGACATGCAACGTTCTCAAAATCTATGCTGACTAAATGCTGAAAACCACTGAAAGAACGAGGAAGGTTAAACTTGCATCTACCAAGCGTCAACTTAGTCAGATTGGCACAAGAGAAAATGTAAGAAGGCAATTCAAGAAGATCACCCATCTTTTTTATCACAGTGAATTCCTTTAGGTCATTCGTCGAAATGAATAGTATCAAAGGTGCAGCACTCGTCAAATGAATATACGGTATTATAAGAACGAATTTGACAATGGGACCATTGTGTTGCAGGAGAGTGTTACATATGTCATCACTATGTAATGACCGACATAATAATCTTGGATCATCAAACACAAGAGCAGGTATTGTTCGCCAATATTCTCTCCACTCGGCGGACAGTATACTCATCCTTGCAGCACCTTCCAAGGGCAAGCATTCCATGATCCTATGTATTATACTTTTTGGAAGCTTACTGATACGATTTTGTGGATAGATTTCTGAAAGATAAAGAACAATAGCTACATTAGACACGCATTGGTGCATGTAAAATCTCTCAGATTATAAAAGGACAGAAAAAGTATATCTCTTCTAGAGCTCCATCTCAAATCTCAATTTCTCAAATAATAATAGATGTTATAATTTTAAAATTAACTTCAGATGTCTGAGCACATGCCATTGAGAAATGACTTGATTACGCTAAATAGTCGGCAAATTTTTCACCAGCCATATACCTAGGGTAACATTCTTTTTTCTTCCGGTAGCTGTATATAAAAAACAGTATTGGATGTCCTAATTTAGTTAGTTTTTAAAATAAATAAGAGAATAATAGTAGTGTAAAGCAATTGAATTTACATGTATAATAATCTGAACTATCGAATATCATGTTGTCAATGACTGCTAACCCTTAAATAACAAAGTAATTCCTACAACATTGATATAATAACCTCTATACTAACAAAGTAACCCTTATAACTTTAACATGTAATAACTCCCTGTAACTAATTGAGTAAACCTCGGCTGACATATGCTCAAAACCACCCTGATTAAAATTCTAGATACGTATATATTTCTAATCAGCTCTAAACAAGTTCAATGAATCGACAACCAGTTCGCTAAAAGCCAAACTATAAGAAATTCTTACATTTCAGTCGCTACATCTTAGCAAGAGGCCTTCACTTCACAATCACTTCTTATAAAGTACTGCATTTTGAGTTACAATACTTTCAAATTGTCCAGATTTTCTCAATCTTTATTGATGCTAGTAATCTGGATAATACTACTCGAATAACTGAGACAACATCTAACCTAGTAACCAGTATAAGTTTCTTTTCTTTTTGATTAGACTGAATTATACTCCCACTAAACAGAGATTATAACATGATTTGAAATAAAAAGGAAAAACAAAAATTCTATCAGGCCATTTTTGAGTGAGGGAGGCCGGTCTAATAAACATATAGGGCCAACATTGGAAAACGACGACTAGACTTTAGACCAGCGAGTAGGGTGAAGCACCACAGGGGCCATGCCCCTCTTAGACCACCCCAACGATGCCTCGCCTTGCTGCAATTTCCACAATTTCTATGTTTATCCACTTTGTGAAATATGAAGTATAATGTACCATAAAATTAGATAGAAAACAACCACTCAATTTGACAAAACCCTTGAATAAACAACATTATAAACAAAAATAACAATCAATTTGACAAATTTTGACAAACCCCTTGAATTGTACTAGCAACATCAGATTATGATATTACAAGAATTCATATCTTTTAACAAACTAAAAGTCCCAAGTAAACTAAACAGTTGACAATAAGAAAAGCCGAGAGATTTCATAATGATACAAATCAGCTTGTCGTTATCTAGTATGATATCAAAAAAGCAATTAATCGAAATAGAAACCCTAGAAATTGAAATTAACTCAACTATTAAAGTAATTTAAAGGGAAAGTGTTATTTTGTGTGATCATACCTAGATTAATGCTTGTAATTGACGGAATCGACCGAGGACGAGATAGAATCGAAGTAAGCAAGCCAAGAAAGAACTGACGAACAGAGAACCATCAAACTTTTTACAGTAGTAATGTATTTTATAGATGAACCGAACACAGAACCCGTCCAAGAATATTTTACTACGGAGTAGCGTTATATCACAAACTTTTAAAATAAATAGATACGTTATGAAGTCATTCTATAATGAATAAAAGTTACTCTAATATGAATAAAAGTTACCCTAAAAATTGTAAAAGTGACTCTAAAAATTGTAAAAGTGATCCTAAGTCACCCATCGGATGTAAAAATTATATATACATCATTTTTGTAATTATAAACTTTTACACAATTATTTTTGGAGTACAGTGAAGAGAGATAGAGCAAGAAAAACAAATAAATAAGGTCATGTAGTGTTGCATCTGAATTTAAAAAACTATTTATAGAAAGTGATGCATCTAATTCCAAACTTGTATTGTTAGTTGAGAAGAATACTACAAGAGAGGGCGAATTTTTAATGAGTTCCTATCAACTACTTTTTGCGGAATATAAAACAAATTAAAAATGTAAAAGGAACTTGCACAACATACAATTTACGAAGAAACCTTCTAGATGGGCCCAACTAGAAGTAAAACCACGACCCTTCTAACAGATTTTACACACCAAAATACTTCACTATAATAGGGCAAACTCTCCAGTTACAACCTATTATAATCAGACCTAAACTCACAAGTTCCAAAATGAATTTGCTACAAAATAGAACCCTATTCTACCTAACCTAAATCTCGTACTTAGATTCTCTCGTACTCCCTAAGTACTTGCTCACTCAACTTCACTATAGAAGCCTACAATATTGTATACAATAAACAGTTCACTCACCCAAACCAAAACAGTACAAACACTTGACTTTTAATATGTGATAGGAAAGCTACACATGAAATCCGAAACTAATATGATAAAGTTAAGCTCGACAAATTAACACCATTGAGTTCTCTTCAGATTCTTCATACATCAACTCACCACTTGTGTTCATCATGAATTCTTCCTTATATACAAGATGATCTCGTTTATTAATTAAGTAGGTTTTTCAAAAGATAGACTTTATCAAAACCTCCAATTTCATAAAACATGTTTTTTTGTAAATCTTTTGTGAAAAAAAAAATTTTGAAAAACTTATTAAAGATAGATTTATGAAAAGAATAATATGTTTTAAAAATCGGATTTTATAAAATAAAATCTTTTAGAAAATCTTTTCATAAACTGAAACTTTATCTTTTATATACTTTCCTTTTATAAGCTTGCCAAGCTTCTAATAAATTCCATGCATAAACTAACCTAACATATTTACAACAATCTTTAAAATTATAAACTTAAAATAACTTATATTGTTTTGTCAAAAGCTGTAGGTTAGGATACTTGGGCTTCACGCAGTCCAGGATTAAGTTCCTACTGTCTTCACTTCTCAAGTACCTTACTGGAACTTCGCAGGTGGAACTTGCTTGTTGTCTTCAACGCAGGCCAAGTTATGCTTCTGAACTTGCTGTCTTAATGTTTATGTTAGGGAACTCAGTTAGTTCCACTGAGAAACTCTTCTTCTATTTGTTTAACTTTCCTTGAAGTCTCCTTGAGTCTTCATAGGCAGGTTACTCTTCCACTTCCAAAGTCTACTTCACATGTTCTATTTACAACATTTAGAGAAATCTTATTAGTTGAAGTTTGCTCTTTGTGTTCATCATCATCAAAACTCTTAAGCTTCAACATTATGATTTGTCTTGCATAATTTGATAGCATGTATCTAGAATGACCTTTTTAGGGCTGACATTAAGCACTTGAAGGGTAATTTTTGTAAATAAGAACAAAAGCAATTCATGTTTAAAATAATTAAATTAAACATGTTAGAATTACTCATTAATATAATATTTTGCATGTAAAGTGTATTGAGCTATTATTATATTGTTAATATCTTTGTGCTAGTAGAAGAGGTAAGGAAATGACTATTAAAACTACTACCAAGCATATTGATGCCTTGATGGGAACACAGTCAAGGAACGGTATCTCTCCCCTTCTCCCTATGAGAATACTAGGTCAATTGCCTTAAATATGTGATTGTATGGCCATTTGTTATGATAGAAATGAAAAACGTATGTCTTACTTCAACACTATTAGCTCAATGGTAGAACAATATATTATATATAGTATTATAGTGTATGTACATGGTGTAGGTTCAATCCCTACATAGCCTACATAATACTTGTTGATAAAGTATAAAACATATTCCTGGGCCTCAACCATCAACTTAAGCTTTTGGTTGAGTTGATCAACTAACATGGTATCAGAGCCAGCGTTACACAAAGGTCACGGGTTCGAATCTCATTCACCCCCACTTTCAAGTAGAATATTAAGCGCTGGGTATGAGGAGGGCCCATGCTGCATCCACACTTCTAGCCCAAACGGGCTCTCGTGTGAGGGGGAGTGATAGAGTATAAAACATATTCCTGGGCCTCAACCATCAACTTAAGCTTTTGGTTGAGTTGGTCCACTAACACTTGTGTAAAATTTAATACTCCATCCGTCCTTAAATTATATTCATATGTACTTCTAGCATTTATTCCTCACATAATAGAGAGAAATAGGAATGTAATTTAAGGACGGAGGGAGTAGTGTATTCCTATTTTGCTGGAGTAAAATTGGTCATTTTTATAACGTGTAACAAGCATAGCGCTCTTGGTTATGATCAGTTAAGTGCTTTTAATTTCCCCTCTAGTGACCCATTGAGTGTTTACCAACCCTCGAATGAGGATAAGGTTTGGTGGATAGTCGCCAACAAAATGTCCAATGAGGTAATGACTTTAAAATTGAGTTTTTTTTCATAAAAATTACCTACTTTGACCCCATTAAAATTAATCAAATGTATTTTGACCCCGTTAAATATTTTTTCTGAATTCGTAATTGCCAATTAATAAGGTGCTCTTGGGTTTGATAGTTAGAGGCGTTCAGCACAATTCCCATACAAAAAGACATATTGAAGGGAATAAAGAAAATAAAGGATAAAGACTTTAAGGACTTTAAGGCTTTTAAAGAAGAAACTAAAAGACAAGAACGTGGAATGTGAAGGAATAATGCAATTAAGAAGGTGAAAGCAAGCAAACTCGGAGTTTCAACTTTCTTTTTTGAAATTTAATCAAACAAGCAAAAAATCTCTTTGATAACAGAGACAAATCCAGCCCTTTGGTTGGTCAGAATAGAAATGTAACGTAGGAGTATTGAGCCCCTCCCTACTACTGAAAAGAGAGAATGATCAATGCATGTAGCGGAAGCTCTGAGCGTTCTTGGGAACGTGCAAGAAATAACTCTATCTATTCTAACAAATTCACTTCTTGCTTCCGATAACCTCTCTTAAAATGTGGGTAATAAATTAGGGCATGTTCTCATTAACTGAACTCAGCTGAACTAAAATGAACTGAACTGAATTGAATTGAGTTGAACTGAAATGAATATTTTGTAAGAGAAGGAAA